ATTTTGTTTTCAGAAATTAGAGATTACTCTTCGACCATTACTTTGAACCAAAAATCCAAATTTGAAGAAAATTGCGGATCTGAAGGTATACTGTAACCTTAAGTGTAAAGTCGAACGTGACGAGTATTAGTAAGGTTAAACGACGATTCTAAGGCAAGTAATTATAAATCAATCGGTGTGAGAAGTACAAAAAGAAAAAAACTACCTTCAAAACATACCTGTGACTTGCAAAACCCAAAGACTCACAAAGACTTGAAAATCGGTTAACATGGTTAAAGAGTGCTTCGTCATTTCTTTTTGAACAAATAGGTGTGCTACGCTTAGCTGTTGATGACAGGCTGACTGCAAGGTTAAATGCAAGGACACGTCATCACTGTGCCATAATTATATTCAGCCAGACGCGTCATTCCACGACATTGTTGTCATTCCACGACATTATTGCAGCCTCGTGGTTTTTTGCTTTTCCTTCTGTCGTAAGAACCGCTAAAGCGAACGTTTTTCGCGCCACTCTTCGACACGTCTGTACAGGCTTAATTAGGCTGAGGCAAAGTATAAGGAAGAAAAAGACGCTGTATAGAAATACTGCTTTTGATAAGTTACTCTACGTGGTGTTTGTATTTCGTTTCCATCAGTAGCTGAATACAATATCAAACATTCGAAAACATGCAGTGTTTTTCAAGCACATTAGCAGCAGATGTCAATGGTCACTGATTTGCCAACTCGGATTTTTTTTGTTTTGTTTCATAGAGTCCCGTAATGAAAGTGAAAGTGAAAGTGACAGCAAAAAGATTGACATTGATTTTCATGCGAAAACTTTAAAGAGAGTCGCAAGGTGTAGAAAATATCACTTGAGTGTAAGTTGTAAAGGGAAAGGAAATACGACTTTGTAAAATATCACCGGCAGTCTTTCAAAAATGAAGCGGTGACCTGTAGATAATGAATGACTTCAAAATATTTCCCGTATTTTCAGTTTCGATATCGACTTCCTGACGGCCATTGAATCACTGGGCCTCAAAAATATCGCCAGTTGTCCCATTTTAAAAACTTACTGCACTGTGAAATCTGCCTGCAATCAAGCTAGTGCACATTTCGTCGTCTCTTAAAATAGGATTTCAACCCTTAAATGATGGTAAATCCTCAAAATTGTTAATTTGATCTCAATGAGAGTAAACATATTAAATCACATGAGCAGCACAATTTTAATAAGTGGCTAACTTGCATTGGGATACCTGTGGCAGTTAGGAAATGACAACATTTTCCGTGTTTCTATTTTTGTTATAGAAACCCGGGTGGAATTTTGTAGAACGCCGAGAAATGTTGGAAGCAGGCGAGTATTTCCACAGCTTTTTCGCGTCCTCTCAATAGGTTTCACGAGTCATTTATCTCAATAGACATACGGAGATAATGTTTTTTGAACAGTGCTTGGGAGAAAAGGAAAGGAACATCGTTCGTTTATTTCTATTACCAAAATGTAAATTCACTTAGCTCACACTATCATAACATCAACATCTTTGTGTCTTTTGAAGATCTTTCAAGCACAGCTTTCAGCGCTCGCCACTGAATGTTTCATGAAGTAAAGAAATGGTCTCGTCCCTTTGTGCACTGCACAGACAGCGCTGTGGATGATGCAATATCATTTTTTTTTTTTTCTTATCCTATAACTGCAGTGGAATCCCGATTTCTCGAACCCTCATTTTTACGAACCTCCCGATAACTCGAACCAAAATTCGTTTCCCTGCCTCAGTCAAACACTGTAATTTTACTCCCGATTTCTCGAACTATCCGATTTTTCGAACCAATTTTCGTTTCCCTTGGAGGTTCGAAAAATCAGGATTCTACTGTAGTATCAGCTAACGACTATAGAATGTTTCTTTGCTTTTAGAATTTATTTTAACTGAAAGTTCTTCGAGCAAGCTAAGGCGACTATGATTTTTGTATGGCCGGGATCAAAACTAACTGTATTTTGATTCGTTCCTGAACACTCACGTAACTGTATTTGTAAGTTTAATTATTTTACATGAAGGAGATAGATGAGAAATACATGCAGCAGAGTGTTACGGAATTTTGTGTTAAAAGCCAACTAAGCTTAACAAACCGGTTTGCCTCTTTTACCGCTGCCCGTTTCATATACCCATCAGGATAATCCACCGTTGATTTCGTAATTTCCGTACAATTTATAATTAGCAACTATTTATTCACCTTGCTATAAATGCGTGACTCCTTAACTTGATTGTTTTTTTTTTTGCTAGAGCATTCGTGTAACATGAGCAATTTATTATTGATGTGAAAAGATTTCAAAACTCTTGCTTTGCTCAGTTCACAATTAGAAAAAATAAACTCTCTGCTAGAACTTGAGTCTGCGGCGCTAAGCTACGTCGGTGGCCGGAATATTATTTGTAAGGTCAAGACACCGGATATTATCAAATAGCGTTGGAAACAAAGCGTCTTCGATTCATAAAATCACGTCGTAATCCATTGCTCCTGTCAAATACACTTTTTTTCTTGCCTTCAATTGAAGTAAAAGTGAGTGAGACTAATTTCGGCCGCATATTTTAAAACTGTTGTGAAAATAATGTTGAACTCCAGAGTGGTTAAGTCTTAGTAAATTCTTAAATCATAAGCCCAAACTCCTACGTGTACGTAAAACAACGTCTCGCCTTGTGCTCGTATTTGTACTGAAACAAATAGGACACCGTTCACGTACGCTAGAAATAACCAAAATGTATTTTTACTCAGCCTACCTGAACCGAGAAAGGCTCCTGGAAGAGTGATTAGCAGCAAACAGCTGACAAGTAACTTCGTTCGT